TGTGATTAATTATTAGTGTTTTAAGTTTAATTCGTGTAAAGTGAATTAAAGAGTTAATTTTGGTGATTCTATCGGCAATTTTTATTGTCACGAACCTCAAGCTCGTAACAATTGGTGTCAGAAGTGGGATAAAATCATGCCGATTTTACCTAAGGAGGAAACGGAGCGTGTCCGTACCCGAAGTCAACGTCAGCAGGAGACGTACCAAAGAAGATTTGGTGGTGCAACGCTGCAGACGTCGCAGGGCCAGCCGCCGGCTGCAGGCCCGTCAGTAGCTCCTACATCTGCAGCACCTGACTTAGGTGCTTTGATGGTGATGCTGCAGGAGCAGGCTCGCCGACAGGAGGAGAGGCGTTGGTTGAAAGAGCAGCAGGAGGAGCAGGCTCGCCGACAGGAGGAACAGGCTCGCCGACAGGAGGAACAGGCCCATCGGTTGGAAGAGCAGCTGCGGGGTGGACAAGAGGAACAGGTCCGTCGTTTGGAAGAGCAGCTGCGGGACGGACAAGAGGAACAGGCCCGTCGGTTGGAAGAACAGATGCTCCTCATGAGGACCTTCACGCTACCTTCGGGAAGGAGATCAAGGAGGTGAAGGATAGGGTTGCTGTCAGAAGCTGAAACCCAAATCGCGAAAGCTGAAACCTGAATCGAGAAAGCTGAAACCCGAATCAACCAAGTGAACAATCGGGTTGACAACGTGGTGGCTGACGTGAAGAAAACGCTGGACGACCTCAAACTGGGGGATGGAATTACAGCTCCCGTAGTAGCTACAACACCTTCGCTACGTGGGTTCAAAGTGCCACCGTTCGACGGGACTTCTTCCTGGTCAGCTTACAAAATCCAGTTTGAAGCCGTTATGAAGGAGAACGGCTGGAATAAAAGTCAGGCCATGACTGTTCTCACACTAGGCCTGCGCGATCAGGCCTTAACTGTTCTGGAAGCTCTCGGTGAGGAAGTGACTTATGAGCAGCTCCTTGAGGCATTGGAGGCGAGATATGGCGACGCTCACCTGGAACACGTCTTTCGTGCGCAGCTTAAAGATCGCGTGCAGCGTATCAATGAAAACCTGCTGCAGTGGGCTCTAGAGGTGGAGAAGCTGGTGTGAAAAGCATACCGGTCCTGAAGGGAACCTGGTACAGATATTCGTCGACGGCATCCGCGACCTTGATGTCAGAGCTGCTGTGAGGCTGGGGCACCACGAAACGCTTAAGGACGCCTTGGCCCATGCACTGGAGGTGGAATTCGTGCGACAGGATCATCGTTCCAATCGCGTCAGGGAGGTTGCAGCAGCTACAGTTCGCGATCGCAACAAAGGATGCAGCCCTAGGTGCTATGGCTGTGGGGAAAGGGGCCATCTTCGATCCAGCTGCCCTAAGCGAACTGTAGAAAGGGAAGTTGATCGATCTCGAGAGGGTAGTGCAGCTAACGGCACCGCCTGGCGGTGGCAGGATCGTCGCTCCCCCTCACGCTAGGGAGGTTGCAGCAGTTACGGTTCGCGACCACAATAATGGATACAGCCCTAGGTGCTATGGCTGTGGGGAAAGGGGCCATCTTCGATCCAGCTGCTCTAAGCGAACCCTAGAAGGGAAAGGTGAGCAATCTCAGAAGGGAAGTGCAGCTAACATCACCGCCTGGCAGCAGCAGGAATACGACTTTACTATCAGACATCGTAGCGGGAAATCTCAAGGCAACGCAGATGCATTGTCAAGAAGACCTTGTCCTGAAGATTGCAAAAATTGTACTAGGCAAGAGAGTAAGGAACTGGTATCTGTGAGTATGCTCAGGACAGACCACCTCAGCAACGAGTGGAAAGATAGCCTACGACATGCACTGCAGGAAGATCCGGACATCAAGCCTATTCTGGAATGGATGGAGGCCCGTGCTACCAAGCCTAAGTGGAGCGACGTCTCAGCGATGAGTTCGACCACTAGAAGCTATTGGGCCCAATGAGTGGAGATTGAACAGCTTGGACAGCGCTTGTGATTCAGGATGGAGTCCTGTGTCGTAAATGGGACAATAGTCGAGGAGATAGCTGTCGTTTGTAAATGGTTGTCCCTAAAGCTAAAGTGCCGAATGTTCTACAGCTGTGCCATAATGGTCGTTCAAGAGTCCATCTGGGAGTTAAGCTAACTCTACTGAAGGTCCGTGAACAGTTTTACTGGGTCCATTATCGTGACGATGTCGAGGATTGGTGTCGTACATGTACAAGTTGTGCGGCTGTGAGGGGGCCTCAGACACGTAGTAGAGGAGCATCGAAACTGTACAATGTTGCTGCACCATGGGATAGGACAGCCCTTGACATTGTGGAGCCGTTACAGAAAGGCGCAAGAGGGACTCCTAAGATCGTCCATGTGGATCGCCTAGCGCGTTATTCTGGGGCCGATAATGCTCGGGACGAGCATGTCTTAGGAGGGGGCAGTGTTGCGCACCTAAGTTGACGTCATGTACCCGGCACTAGCGCCATCTAGTGTCGTGGACGAGAGCGAGGGAAGCTTTCCAGAAAATGACATCACTAATCTTTCAACCGATAGCGCCATCTAGTGTCGAAACGAAGAACTTCGATTAGCTTCTAGAAGCTGACACTCGAACTTTCAACGCCTTGCGCGTATTTACTTGAATGTTCTGGATGTTTCGGTGCTAATGTGTATTTATAGGCGCTGCAAGGTGCGATCGGGGTAGTATTGAATTTGGAGAGTCAAGCGAAGCTTCGGAGCGGAATAAAGTGAATCAGTGTGATTAATTATTAGTGTTTTAAGTTTAATTCGTGTAAAGTGAATTAAAGAGTTAATTTTGGTAATCTATCGGCAATTTTTATTGTCACGAACCACAAGCTCATAACAATATCACATTCTTAGTGTAAAATCGAGTCTTATTTTAAATTTAAAGTATAGTTGTTTCGAAAGAAATGGCCGCTCTAAAGTTGTCGGCACATGTTTATATTTGTTTACTTTGTTTTTCACTTAAATTATATATAAGCAAACGAGTATTAGTTCGTAATAAAAATAATAATAAACTTTACAAACAGAAATAAACTATATTCATTGAAGATTCGTTAACAATGTTAGTGCGTTACTCAGGTTTTTTGTTGTGGCTGTTTTATATCCACGGACGTAACGACAAAAGTTCTAAATAAGGGTCGGTACAAACAGCAAAATATGTTTGCGAGATGTTTTGCTTTGTTATTTTTTACGGTGGTCTTGGGTCGTGCTAGTTTTGAGTTTTATTTCTTAATAATTTATGATGATTCTTAATCATAATCGTAATTTTTAATGTTTCTTTAACACATTATTGTTGTTTTTTTCCTTGATGATATTAATGGTTTAAATTAGTACATACAACAATTTTAGATCACCAACCGAAACTAACTTGGCTCGTAGAAGTCATAGAAGCCAAGGGGTTCGTACTGGAGGTGGGAGTGGACCATCTCAAGTTAGGAGGTATTTTAGATTTTTTGTATTTTATAAAAACTACTTTCGTATATTTTGTTTTTCTCACTTTATATAAAAAAAATTATACGTGGTAGAGCCATGCTGCAGTTATATTAATAGTATATTTGTAGCACGAATTGATCGGCTCGACCGGGGCAGGACCACGCTCTCACATAATACATTCGTAAAATAGTAGCTTAATGCTGCTGTGTTTCATATGGTGAGTGTAGAGAACCGGAGACCCATTTTAACATATGTAACAAAAATATGACCGACTGACATACAAGCCAAGCGTTGTTTTGGACTCAAGTCCATAGGAGGAGTGGACAGGAAGGACCAGTTCTTGAGTCATGCTCAGCCCATGGAACGTACACGAAATAAAATTTGGTACATAAAGGTGTTTCGTCGTCTCTTTAACTGTGCCATTTTTAACTTTTTCATTTTATTTAAAACGGCCAATCCAAATATACCACATAGGCAGTTCAGGGCAACTTTGGCGGAAGACTTACTAAAGTTATACCGACTTATTGACCTCACGACAGAACCACGACTCATAAATTCAAGAACTGGACTGACGAAAAGGCCAATGACAACTACGACCAGCAGAACTAAAATCGAGCATCGACATTTCCCAGTCAAAACCGGCTTTCCATTACTTGCCAATGTCCATTACTTGCCGGATGGTAACAAGCGGGTGGCGGGAGCGCAACGCCCCTACTTGAACCTTGATCAGTCGGTTACGTACTACGACGGAGAGAGGTTGTCGCTTTAGCTTACGGACGCTTGCTATTAAAATATTTACGTGTGTAGTACCAATCCTGTTAGTTATTTTCTCTTAAGCTTCTCTCCGCTTTTCTTTATATCTATAAGCTTGTTTCTTCTTGTAAGTGTTGCATTCTCCTTCTGATTAATATAATTATTGGTGTGACTTTGTATTTCTGTGCAATAAATGTGTTAGTGTAATAAGTGTTGAACATTATTTATCTATATGCCCGTTACTATACACATAACAACAAACTTCGCACCCACTACATTGGTGACCCCTATTGAACACAAAAATGAGCAACGTCTCGATGACAAGTTCGAAGATGCTAGAACGTTTGCAGGTGACCGCGCCCAGTCTCGCTCAGCAACTACAGAGACGCCGCAAAATGAGCCTACATTAGAACTATGTAAGGTCGGAGTTCGTGTACCACCATTTTGGCCGGAGGAGCCAGAGATATGGTTTGCCCAGGTGGAAGGTCAATTTAATATATCCGGCATTACAAGTGATGCAACTAAATTCAATTACGTTATTGGTCAGCTGTATAACCAGTACTCAGTGGAGAGGTAAAAGACATTAATTTTTTCTTTAAGGGCGGTGGCAAATCATTTTTTCGATATGTCGCTGTAAGTTTTTTTTGATGTAATTAACTTGTCTTTTTGCTGGTTGCGAACTAAACTATTAGAAGTGTTTTTATCACTTTTGTTAGCCCACCAACTAGTAATAAATATGACAAGCTGAAGAACGAGCTAATTAAGCGGCCGAGGGCGTCCAAAGAGAAAAAGCTCACACAGTTATTAATGCACGAAGAAATGGGTGACAGAAAACCATCACGGTTTCTCCGTCACCTGCAAGGTCTTGCTGGCATACAGGTCTCGGATGATTTTATGAAAACCCTTTGGATCAGCCGTCTTCCATCTGGCATCCAAACATTTTTAGCAGGCCAACCGCATACATCCATCGAGACACTAGCGGACGTAGCCGATAGGATTCACGACCTGGTACCATCATCGCCCCAGGTGGCATCAATAAGTCATTCTCATAATGAACCGGTGTACAACGACCGTGCGAAAGAAGTCGCAGCGCTTAGAAAAGAAGTGCAAGCGCTTACTCTAATGCACAGAAGAAGTAGACCACGATCACGTTCTAAACGAGATACTCGTAAAGATCGCTCTTCATCAAGGTCTCAGTCCAGCTACAGAAAATTTACTTTATGCTGGTACCACTCCAAATTCGGCGAAAAGGCAGATAAATGTGTACGCCCATGCGACTATCGGTCGGAAAACTCCAAGGGCAATCGGTGATGTCGACCGACGATTGCCCGTACTCAACTGGTCGTCTATTCGTAACTGACCGCATCTCGAAGACTCAGTTCCTGGTGAGCTTCCTCAGTCGTTGCTACGTGAACGTCGTGCTCGGACTACATACCAGCTAAGTGCAGCCAACGGTTCTCATATAGACACTTATGGTTATATAAAATATAATTGATAGAATCAGGCGTTACTTTGGAAATCCATTATAATTAAAATTTTTTTGTCTCTCATTGCATCCTTGCTTTGCATTTAAACTTAGATTTTGGCTTACGTAGAATATTCAAGTGGCGTTTTGTAGTTGCAAATGTAACAAAGCCCATTATTGGTGTAGATTTTTTAAACTATTATAGCATAATATTAGATTGCCGTAACAAGCGTATTACTGATAGTACAACATCTATAGTAGCCACTGCCTCACAAGTAAAATCAACCAATATTTTATCAATTAAGGTTTTAACTGGTATACACAAAATATACAGCATAACACAGTTCACCATATACGTACGACACCAGGATCTCCAGTTTCTTGTTCACCTCGTCGCCTCGCTCCAGATAAACTGAAAATAGCCCAGCAAGAGTTCCAATCCATGCTAGATAATGGGATAGCTAGGCCTTCTGAAAGTTCTTGGTCGTCGCCACTCCAAATGAGTTCCAAAAAAAGATAATGGTTGGCGTCCCTGCGAGGACTACAGAATGCTTAACGCTCGGACAGTGCCCGACAGATATCTGATCAGGCACATTCAGGACTTTGCACATAGTATATCTGGTTGCAAAATTTTTAGTACATTAGACTTAGCCAAGGCTTACAACCAAATACCAGTTAGTCCTGAAGATGTACCAAAAACTGCAATAACAACACCTTTTGGACTCTTTGAGTTCCCATTCATGGGTTACGGTTTACAGAATGCTGCACAAACGTTCCAGAGATTTGTGGACGAAATGACAAGGGGACTCGACTTCTGCTATTGTTATTTAGACGATTTTTTAATTTTTTCAAAGGACGAGGCACAACATTAACAGCATTTGCGTGCAATTTTTCAATAACTAAAAGAATATGGTATGCTAATTAATATGTCTAAGTGTGTTTTTGGTGCTCGAGAAGTAGTCCTTTTTGGGATATCACATCTCGGCATCAGGCACCAAACCACTAGACACTAAAGTTGAAGCCATAGAAAACTTCCCATTGCCCACCAATGTTCGTCAACTTCGACGATTTCTGGGCATGGTCAATTTTTATAGGCGATTTTTACCACGTGCTGCAGAAATACAAGCACCGCTTAACGTCTTGTTGACAGGCGTAATAAAGAATAACCAGCCTATTACATTATCTGGTGAGTCTTTAATTGCATTTAAAACATGCAAAGAAAGCCTTTCTGAGGCAGCGTTATTAGCACATCCGGATTTCCAAGCGAAATTGGCTTTAGTCACTGATGCTTCGGATAATGCAATTGGAGCTGTTCTACAGCAGTTAAAAGAAGACGTATGGCAGCCACTAGCATTTTTCTCCCGAAAGCTGAACACTTCTCAGACAAAATATTCCCCTTACGACAGGGAGCTCCTAGCAATTTATGAGGCTATTAAATATTTTCGCTACATGTTAGAAGCAAGACATTTCACAGTATATACGGACCACAAGCCAATCAGTTTCGCATTTCATGCAAGGAAATCCAACTTATCGCCTAGGCAGTATAGGCACTTAGATTATATAGCCCAGTTTACTACTGATATCAGGCATATTTCCGGTAAGGACAACGTTGTTGCCGATACACTTTCGCGTGTAGAGGCATTGGAGGCGCCTATTGACTTAGAGGCATTAGCTAAAAGCCAAGCTTCTGACCCTGAGCTTGAAAAGCTCATAAAAGAAGGCTCTTCACTACGCCTAGAAAAACTTACTATACCCGGGAGTGGAACCCCATTGTACTGCGACGTCAGTACACCGATTTCCCGGCCATTTGTTAACAAGTTTTTCCGAAAACAAGTTTTAAATACTTTACATTCGCTCAGTCATCCAGGCGTTAACGCAACCGCCATGTTAGTGGCAGAACGTTTCGTGTGGCCGAAAGTTAAAAAAGACTGTCGGGAATGGTCAAAAACGTGTTTACCATGCCAACGTTCGAATTTTTTTTCAATATGCCGATGTGTAATCCATGCCGTACTACGCACTGGCAAGTGATGCCGGTGAGAACGATGTGCCGGAGCAAGTGCCAGAAGTCTGCCTTATAAATCTGCGGTGAGTCAAGATGAAGACAAGTTGGACTGGGTTGCAGGAACTGAAGACTGCAGAAGACGATTCTCAGTAGTGAATGGTAGGGGTTCTTGAGGATAATGACGAAAACTTGAAAGTTGTAGTTTCCGAAGGTTGTTGGTTGCGTGTTCAGATCACGTCGGAGTCACCACTGTGGCCGTGGAAAGGAAAAGGGGAGATCTCCCTCCGGTCAAGGTGTTATGCCCGGGGAGCGGCCAACACTCCGTGTGATAGCAGAGGCATCGCGGTAAGAATACGAGGAGTAGGTGTTTTGTTTCGATTTATTTAATTACATAACGCTAATTAAACATTAACGTATATCATCATAAAAAAGGAAAATACGTCTAGTTTGTTGTGACTTTATTTTATGGGTAAAAAATACAATATTTCTTCGTTGAGGTGTAAATTAATAAAATTTATACGTTTTTTTTTTCTCCAAATTCAATGTTCACAACTATTTTTAATATCTTAAATAACATTTTTGGGTTTAAAAACATACATAGGTTTAATTCGCATTCTTCTGTCAATTTTTAGTAGTTTTGTCTCTACTTTATCTATTATAGTTAAGTAACTATGTGGGTTTTATTATACAACATACAAGCGCGGTAGCAGCCGAATTAGGGCCGCGCGTATCCGGACGTACAAGGATAAATCAGTCGCGAGGGCTGGACGCTTGAGCGGTTATGGTTTATCTCAACATAATTACTTCCAGAATGCATACAGAAATGTACTAGATTTAGTATTTTCCAACGTGCCTATAATAATTGACAAATGTCTATGTCCATTAGTCAAGGAGGATGTGTGTCATCCAGCGATAGAGGTGTGTGTTACATATAATATATACCTCCAATAAAACCATGTAATAACATAAAAAAATTATTTCGTAAAGCAGATTACCACAAGTTAAACTTATATTTTTCTGATTGTGACTAGTCATTTTTACATTCGCAGAACTTACACAACGCCATTAACAATTTTTATTCAATATTATATACTGCTATTATTAAACATGTACCCCAAAAAGTTATTTCTCGTTCATATATCTACCCTATGTGGTATTGTAATACGCTTATAAAATTAATAAAAGAAAAAGCTAAGTATCACCATCTCTGGAAAAAATTCAATAATCCAGAAGAATACGCTTCTTTTTTCACAATACGATCTGGGGTAAAGAAACTCAAAAAATAATGCTATTTCTCTCATATAAATTATATCAAGATAAAATCAAATCATCGCCTAAATTATTTTGGAGTTACATGAAATCAAAAGAAAGAACCGATCTAATTATCCTCATGTAATGCAGTTAAATGGCTGTAATGTCGTTAATGAATTTGAAATCTGTAATGCTTTTAATGATTTTTTTTGTTTTCTTAGTTGGACTATTTGTACCAGGTAAACATACTCGTCAACAACTTTGACCTTTTGCTACCAACAACAATTGGCATAGATACGACGTGGATGTTACACATAAACTTTGTTTTGTCCATGTTCATCTTAAGATCAATCCGTTTGGAGACACTATTAAGGTCATTGAGTATAGTGCTAAGGTCCTCCAGCAATTCTACCATAAGAACTATATCGTCGGCAATATGATTAATGTGCTCACCATTGACGTAAATACCCTATCCTTTTCAGTCCAGTTGCTTCAAAACGTCTTTCAATCCAGCGGTGAAGAGTTTCGGGGATATTATGTTACCCTGTCTTACACCTCTCTGCAGTTGGATATGTTTACAAGGTTGTACAAACTTCAGCACTTCGATATACCGATAGTCAACTTGGCACCACTGAAGGGATTGCAGCACTGTCCAAATTTCGACGGAATCAAAGGCTTTCTCATAGTCCACGTACTCAAGACAAAGTGGCAGATTGTACTCTTCGGTCTTCTGTACAATTTGCCGAAGGGTATGTACGTGGTCTATGGTGCAAAAGCCTTTTCGGAAACCGGCTTGTTCGGGAGGCTGAAAGTTGTTGAGTCTGCATGCAAGACGATTCGTAGTGATTCTCGAAAACAGCACGTAAACTCGGCTCTAAATTGTAATCGGTCTACAGTTCTTCAAGAGAGTATTTTCGCCTTTCTTGAAAAACAAGGCAAACGCACTTCTGCTCTACGCCTCCGGGGTAGTGCCACCATGGAGGACGAAATTAAAGAGCTTCTGAAGGAATTCATTTACCGGTTTTTCATCCGGCTTTAGAAGCTCTGCTCTAATTCCATCTTCTTATAATACTATTATATATTAGGAGAAAAACGAAGAGAGAGAAATTTGTGAACGACTCTCTACGATATGCAAAAAATTTACGTGAAGAGCTTGAAATTTCTTTTGAACCCCCAAGATAAATCTGGAGGAGGCATGATTTGGCGACGAAAATGTAGATGTTCGGTTATCATGAACAAATAGAGGCGAACAAAGATTACTTTATTAGACACACAGTAACTGCTGAAATTCATGATCGATTCCAAAAACTGCAAAATATAGCGCAAAAATATGCCTTTTTAATGCCTGCAGTAAATAATATTGGCCCGGAAGAATTTAACTTGGATCAAGCTGGTTGGGACATAAACACAGAAGAGTTCCAACAAGAGCTCGAACGTCTACGTGCGTTGCAGCTGCAATAGACGCAGATTATAAAAAGGGCTTATTAAGTCCGGCTATCTGTTTATTAAAATACGTAATTGAGTCCAAACTTGAAGATGGCTTACCAAACATTGTCATAAGTCATAACAAAATAGTAAAACTTAAAATAAAAT